TCATTTGCTTTGGATGATTTATAACTTACACAAAAATAACACACATGTTGTATAGAATAAATTCTTGGCTGCAATGTGAACGCCAACTATTTCAACTTTTGCTTTTATAGCTTCAGGCTACGGTCGAGAAATAATTCTTTGTGTATTCGCTAATAAGCAGTTCACATGTCCCTTACACATCAGGCCGGTCTTTTTGCTATCCACCATTTAAGATGGATTTCTATCTCGATTACAATCCATAATTATATTCACTGGGGTTGAGCAGATTGAAGGGCTTCTGATAGAAACCTATAAAATTCTATCAGGACTAGACAGGGTAAACTCAGGAAGGATGTTCCTGATGACATGAGAATTCAGAACCAGGATTCACGGTCTAAGGATAAGATATAGACCATTCAGGGCTGAGACAAGGATAAATTTCTTCAGCCAGAGATTGGTGAGCCTGTGTAATTCTCTGTCACAGAAAGCAATTGAGGCCAAAACATTGAATATTTTCAAGGAGTTAGATATAGGTCTTAGAGCTAAAGGGATCAAAAGATATGAAGAGAAATTTGAGAACAGGAGACGGCGTTGGATGATTAGCCATGATCATATTGAATAGGGAAGCAGGTTCAAAGGGCCAAATGATGACTCCTTCTCCTATTTTCTGTGTTTCTATATTTCTATAAATGGAGAATAATCAATGTTGAAAATGTGATATCAGATAGGTTGAGGTGAAGAAACAGGAAACCATCTTGGAAATGAAGCTGTGGGAAGTTGGATCATCTGAACTTATGTGGCAAAGATAGAGAAACTGGGAGAATGGGACAGAGTCATTTCAGGAAACAAAAGTGTAAAGAATTGTAGTCAAGGTTGCTAAGGTTATCAAGGAGCTTGCAGTGGGTATTGGTCAATAGCCTCCCCAGAAATAGAGAGATGAAAACAAGAGGTCATAAAAACAAGATTATCATGAATAAATCCAATGAGGAATTCGGGAGGAATTTCTTTATCCAGGGAATGGGGAGAATGTGGAGTTCTCTACTACATAGAATAGGAGGAGTGGCAAGCATGGAGGCATCCACAGGGAAGCTAGACAACCATGTAACAGAGACAGGAATATAGAGAATTGGTTAATAGGATTGTCGATGGACTACAATGGATGAGGCTAATGTGGAGTGGAAATATCAGCATTGGCCAGTTGGACTGACTGAACTGTTTCTGAGCTGGAAGCTGAATGTAATTCCAGAAGGTAAAAATATCACAAGAAGAAAAGGAGGAGTTCGAGATAGAACACAGGAATCCATGCCTGGATCTGCCTTTACTGCTACCGGTAGCTCAGAATGCCAAGACAAAAAACTGATTTATAATGTGTGATTCATGAAATTGTCAACAAGCTTCTGTATTTTTTCGTCCTGAAATCTGATCTAAAACTTTGTGACAGTGCTAACAAACGTGAAGAAGTATGAACCTCAATGATGGGACCATCCTATAGTTTCTAGTAGGTTGTCTCAAGAACTCAAAGTCAATTTTGGTCCATTTCATAATGGGGTATGTATTTAAGGACAAATCTTCATCATAATCTGCTCATATTACTGGTCGAATAACTATCGCATTCGAGTAATAAGTTTCAGATTTGAAACATGTGAATGATATTGAAATTGGGAATATAGAGTGAATTTGCTTACACTCATGACCCCTTTTAACCTCTCCTGCTCCCATCTGTTCTCCATTATAAAATGATCTCCTCTAAGTATACATATATTTTATAACGGCAACAGTAACATCACATATGCTATAAATTAGGGCAGGGTATAGAGAAACAACACAAAATGTCTCATCAGAGCCAATGGACAACCAAAGGATGAGCCAAGAAATCACATTTGGAACATTGTCTGCCAGATTGGCTACTTGTTGTTACCATGTATGGTTTGTCCTAGTTTTAAACAAATATTTATTTTTAGTAACACATGATGAAAGATGGAAATATATGCCGTTTGTATCATGTTTAAAGAACTGCAGTTCAGGAAAAATCTCGTCGATCACATGCGCCTCTCCACCACTTAAGAGCCTCAAGCCAGGTCTATGATGGATTACTCTCCACTTGCCAGAATTGTGCAGCTCCAACACCCTTCACAATACTTGGAACCTTGCAGGAGAAAGCAGCCTGCATGATCAACAGCTCATTCTTTTACCTTAAACTTCCATTCTCTCCTTCGGTGCCGTACCATAGCTAGGCTGCGTATGATCCACTGATGCACTGCTCCAAGTCGCAAAGCCTTTTTTGAAAAGTAGCTTTTTTGAAAACCTGCAACTTCATCCACTTCGAAAAACAAGAGCGCTGAGAAATCACTTCCAGGGTCATAGGAGCATAGACAGATACAACACAGAAACAGACTATTTGGTCCAACTCATCCATGCTGACCAGATATCCTAAATAAATCTACTTTCATTTGCCAGCATTTGGCCCTTATCCCTCTAAACCTTTCCTATTCATATACCCATCCAGATGCCTCTTAAATATTGTAATTGTACCAGCCTCCACCACTTCTTCTGGTAGCTCATTCCATACACGCACCACCCTCTGCGTAAAAAAGTTGCCCCTTAGATCCCTTTTAAGTCTTTCCCCTCTCACCTTAAACCTATGCCCTCTAGTTTTGGATTCCCCCACCCTGGCGAAATGACCTTATTTATTTAACTTATCCATGCTCCTTATGATTTTATAAACCTCTATAAGGTCACTCCTCAGCTTCTGATGCTCCAGGGAAAATAGCCCAGTCTATTCAGCCTCTCCCTAAAGCTCAAGCCCTCCAATCCTAGCAACATCTTCGTAAATCTATTCTGAACCCTTTCTAGTTTCACAATGTCCTTCCTATGGCAGGAAGACCAGAACTGCATGCAATACTCCAAAAGTGGCCTAACCAATGTCCTGTATTGCTACAACATGACCTCCCAACACCTATACTCAGTGCACTGACCAATAATGGCAAGCCTACCAAATGCCTATCTACCTCTGACTCTAATTTCAAGGAACTATGAACCTGCATTCAAAGGTCTGTTTGTTCAGCAACACTCCAGGACCTTACCATTAAGTGTATAAGTCCTGTTCTGATTTGTCTTTTCAAAATGCAGCACCTCACATTTATCTAAACTAAACTTCATTTGCCACTGCTCGGCCCATTGGCCCATCTGATCAAGATCCCGATGTACTCTGAGGTCACCTTCTCTACACCTCCAATTTTGGTGTCATCTACAAACTTAGTAACCATACCTCCTATGTTCACATCTAAATTATTTACATAAATGACGAAAAGCAGTGGACCCAGCATCGATCCTTGTGGCACACCGCTGGTCACAGGCGTCCAGTCTGAAAACCAACCCTCCACCACCACCCTCTGTCTTCTACCTTTGAGCCAGTTCTGTATTCAAATAGTTAGTTCTCCCTGTATTCTGTGTGATCTAACCTTGCTAAGCAGGTTACCATGAGGAACCTTGTCAAACACCTTACTGAAGTCCACATAGACAACGTCCACTGCTCTGGTCTCATCAGTCCTCTTCGTTACTTTTTTTAAAAAACTCAATGAAGTTAGTGAGACATGATTTCACACACACAAAGCCATGTTGACAATCCCTAATCAGTCCTTGTCTTTCCAAACACATCTTGACTTGGCTGAATATTATTGTTCCTTCACTGTCACTGATTCAAAGTCAATTCATAAAATGTTTTGTTGCTGTTATTCAGTTTAGAAAGAAATGTTTTAATAACAAGCACTTGATTTTAAGGATTATTTTAGCAGAACCACTGTAAGCACTTAAATGGATGTATTCTTTTAAGTGTATTTGCTTTCTACAATATTTGGCCCACTGTATATTTCAACCTGAAAACAAACAAACTTGACACAATCTGAAAACAGTGGGCAGCTCAGTCGGATGTCCTCGACATGGTCCTTACAAATAAATTGAAGTTAGACTGTAAGTGCAGCCGGATGTTGACTTTCAATGTTTAAGCAGAAGGTACATCCATCCAGCATTCGTTGCCTCGAAATACCAGCGTACATTTAAGATGCTGCTAAAGCACAGCTAAAAGTGGAAATTTTCTGTCACATTATTTAGCAGCTGGAGAATGTGCGTAGGAAATAGCAAGAAGATAAATGCCAAGTAACATGCTTAGTGCACATATTTTGTGTTGAACACCGTTTTAATTTGGAAGGGATCAGCTAAAAACTGTTATTTACTCGCAGATAGTAGAGTTGTCCCAAGACATGATATGCACTTTATGGACAGAAATGCACACGTCATTCAGTTGATTAGCAATTTGGTTGTTTATTTTCAAGTATTAACTTTGCTCAAGTGATCTCTCATTCAAAGCTACTGGAAACAACAGCACTACTGAATATATTTAGCAATTTTTTTGTACCAGTTTGGCTTTTCGTGTCTGACACAACTCTAATCCTGAAGGAGGAATTGAATCTTAAAAGATCTTGGATCTTGGAATCCAGCCTGGAAATATGACTTTTGAAATGTTTGTTTTGCAGAATTAAACAAACTCTCCCAGTTCAGAAAATTAACATTTGAAAGAAAAAAAATGGTTTTGAACTGCCAGAATAAATATACTTGTTCTCTATACAGCCATTCTGCCTTATTCCACCCATTTCCTTAAATACTTCAAGAATGTGTGCATGGTTTGTGATAATTTCAATAATTTAGAGTTATAAATATACTCCCACTTTTAACACTGTTGCACTTGCTGCTGGCTGTATTATATATCAACAAAAACTCAGAGGGCATTTGATTGTGTGGCTTCCAATGTGATAAAAAGAGAAAATGTGGGTATTTTTGTGTGAGTCATGCAATTTTCAGTGTTATGATTACTGTTCAACATAGAGATGATACTTCATTAATCTCTCCCTGAATATTTACACTAAAGTTAAGAGGATTTACGAAATGCCAGAGTTGTCAAAGGGATTGTCTCTGAAGTGTTAGCTATAGTTCAGTTATCAAGCTGCACTGTCAGAGATGTGGTCTTTCAGGACAATGCTAAACTAAGGTCCCACCTGTTCTCTCAGATGTAGATGATGCCATGGAATCAGTCTCCCATGCAATCATTATCCTTCAATCAATTTTACCAGAAGAAACAAGGTTAGCTGCTCATTATCATATTGCTGTTTATGGGAGCTTAATGTGCGCACATTGGCTGCTACAGTTCCTGCATAACAACTGTGACAGAACTTCCTCTTGTAGGATGTGGGACGTAAGGGTCACTATTAGTATCCCTTCTGACTTCACCTGCGAGAAGTGCACCCAACTCCAGCTCCACAGACCGCGTTGGGGAACTGGAGCTGGAGCTGGATGAACTCCAGATCATTCGGGAGGCTGAGGGGGTGATAGAGAGGAGTTATGGGGAGGTGGTCACACCTAAGTTACAGGACAAAGGGTGACTGTCAGAAGGGGGAAAGGAATGGGTAGAGAGTGCAAGGATCCCCTGTGGCCGTTCCCCTCAATAATATGTATACCGCTTTGGATACTGTTGGGGGGGACGATCTACCAGGGGAAAGCCATAGCAGCCAGGTCTCTGCGGCTCAGAAGGGAAGAGGGGAGAATAGGAGAGCGACAGTGATAGGAGATTCAATGGTTAGGGGAACAGACAGGACAGTTTGTGCTACTGAGCGAGACTCGTGGATGGTATGTTGCCTCCCTGGTGCCAGGGTCAGGGATGTCTCAGATCGAATCTACAGGATTCTTAAGGGGGAGGGAGAGCAGCCAGAAGTCATGGTACACATCGGTACCAATGGCATAGCTAGGAAGAGGGATAAGGACCTGAAAAGTGAATATAGGGAGTTAAGATGCAAGCTGAAAGCCAGGATGAGCAGAGTAGTAATCTCAGGATTACTACCGATGCCACAGGCTAGTGAGGCCAGAAACAGAGAGCGAGTGTAGCTGAGCACATGGCTACAGAGCTGGTGTAGGAGGGAGGGCTTCAGGTTTGTGGATCATTGGGATATCTTCTGGGGAAGGTGGGACCTGTACAGGAAGGACGGGTTGCACCTGAACTGGAGGGGCACCAATATCCTGAGCGGGAGGTTTGCTAGAGCTCTTTGGGCGGGTTTAAACTAGTTTGGCAGGGGAATGGGAACCGGAGCTACAGATCAGAGGATGGGATAGCCAGTGTACAGACAGATAGAGCAAGCAGAGAATCTGTGAGGAAGGATAAGCAGTTGATCGGGCAAAGTTGCAGTCAGTGTGACGGGTTGAAGTGTGTCTATTTTAATGCAAGAACTGTCAGGAATAAGGGTGACGAACTTAGAGCACGGATCAGTACTTGGAACTACGATGCTGTGGCCAATACGGAGACTTGGATAACACAGGGGCAGGAATGGTTGTTGGATGTTCCGGGGTATAGATATTTTGAAAGAAATAGGGAGGGAGGTAAAAGAGGTGGGGGAATGGCATTGCTAATCAGGGATGGTATCACAGCTGCAGAAAGGGAGGCCGTGGAGGAGGGTTTGTCCACTGAGTCAGTATGGGTGGAAGTCAGAAACAGAAAAGGAGCAGTCACTTTATTGGGAGTTTTCTATAGACCCCCCAGTAGCAACAGAGACACTGAGGAACAGATTGGGAGACAGATTGTGGAAAGGTGCAGAAGTAATAGGGTTGTTGTCATGGGTGACTTCAACTTCCCTCATGTAGACTGGAACCTCCTAAGTGCAAATAGTTTGGATGGAGCAGATTTTGTCAGGTGTGTACAGGAAGGATTTCTGACTCAATATGTAGATAGGCCGACTAGAGGGGAGGCCATATTGGATTTGGTGCTTGGCAACGAACCAGGCCAGGTGTCAGATCTCTCGGTGGGTGAGCATTTCAGTGATAGTGATCACAACTCCCTGACCTTTACTATAGACATGGAGAGGGATAGGAGCAGACGGTATGGGAAAGTATTTAATTGGGGGAGAAGGAATTACAATGCTATTAGGCAAGAACTATGGAGCACCAACTGGGATCAGATGTTCTCAGGGAAATGCACGATAGAAACGTGGAGGTTGTTTAGGGGGCGGTTGCTACAAGTACTGGATAGGTTTGTCCCACTGAGGCAAGGAAAGGATGGTAAGGTGAAGGAACCTTGGATGACAAGACATGTGGAACATCTAATCAAGAGGAAGAAGGAAGTTTACTTAAGGTTGAGGAAGCAAGGATCGGACAGGGCTGTAGAGGTCTATAAGGTAGCCAGGAAGGAACTGAAGAATTGACTCAGGAGAGCTATAAGGGGGTATGAAAAAACCTTGGCGGGTAGGATCAAGGAAAATCCCAAGGCGTTCTATGCTTATGTGAGGAACAAGAGAATGGCCAGAGTGAGGGTAGGGCCAATCAGGGATAGTGGAGGGAACATATGCATGGAGTCAGAGGACGTAGGGGAGGTCCTTAATGAATACTTTGTTTCAGTAATCACCAGTGAGAGGGACCTTGATGTTTGTGAGGACAGCATAAAACAGGCAGATATGCTCGAACAGGTTGATATGAGGAAGGAGGATGTGCTAGAAATTTTGAAAAGCATGAGGATAGATAAGTCCCCTGGGCCAGATGGGATATACCCAAGGTTACTACGGGAAGCGAGGGAAGAGATTGCTGCCCCTTTGGCAATGATCTTTGTGTCCTCACTGTCCACTGGAGTAGTACCGGAAGATTGGAGGGTGGCAAATGTCATTCTCTTGTTCAAGAAAGAGAATAGGGATAATCCTGGAAATTACAGACCGGTCAGCCCTACTTCTGTGGCGGGCAAATTATTAGAGAGGATTCTGAGAGATAGTATTTATGATTATTTGGAAAAGCACAGTTTGATTAGAAATAGTCAGTATGGTTTTGTGAGGGGCAGGTCATGCCTCATTGAATTCTTTGAGGATGTGACAACACACATCGATGAAGGTAGAGCAGTAGATGTGGTGTATATGGATTTTAGCACGGCATTTGATAAGGTTCCACATGGAAAGGCTCATTCAGAAAGTAAGGAGGCATGGGATTCAGAGAAATTTGTCAGCCTGGATACAAAACTGGCTGTCCAATAGAAGACAGAGGGTGGTAGTAGATGGATAGTATTCAGCCTGGAGCTCGGTGACCAGTGGTGTTCCGCAGGGATCTGTTCTGGGACCCCTGCTCTTTGTGATCTTTATAAACGACTTGGATGAGGAAGTGGAAGGGTGGGTTAGTAAGTTTGCCGATGACACGAAGGTTGGTGGTGTTGTGGATAGTCTGGAGGGCTGTTGTAGGTTGCAACGGGACATTGACAGGATGCAGAGCTGGGCAAAGAAGTGGCAGATGGAATTCAACCCGGAAAAGTGTGAAGTGATTCATTTTGGAAGGTCGGATTTGAATGCAGAATACAGGGTTAATGGCAGGATTCTTGGTTGTGTGGAGGAACTGTGGGATCTTGGGGTCCATGTCCATAGATCCCTCAAAGTTGCTACCCAAGTTGATAGGGTTGTAAAGAAGGCATATGGTGTGTTGGCTTTCATTGAGTTTAAGAGCCGTGAAGTTCTACTGCAGATCTATAAAACTCTGGTTAGATCACACTTGGAATATTATGTTTAGTTCTGGTCACCTCATTATAGGAAAGATGTAGAAGCTTTAGAGAGGGTGCAGAGAAGATTCACCAGGATGCTGCCTGGACTGGAGGGCAGCTCTTATGAGGAAAAGTTGAGTGAGCTAGGGTTTTTTTTATTGGAGCGAAGAAGGATGAAAAGTGACTTGATAGAGGTGTACAAGATGATGAGAGGCGTAGATAGAGTGGATAGCCAGAGACTTTTTCCCAGGGCGGAAATGACTATTACGAGGGGGATAATTTTAAGGTGATTGGAGGAAGGTATAGGGGAGATGCCAGAGGTAGGTTCCTCACACAGAGAGTGGTGGGCGTGTGGAATGCGCTGCCGGCAGTGGTAGAGGAGTCAGATACTTTAGAGACTTTTAAGCGAGTCTTGGATAGGCATATGGAGAATAGTAAAATGTGGGGTATGCAAGGAAGATTGATCTTAGTAGGATAATAGGTCGGCATAACATTGTGGGCTGAAGGGCCTGTACTGTCCTATATTCTATGTTAACTTCAAGCACTATTCAGTGTTAGTTTTGATCTTCAGGGAAGCGACAATGCAGCAAAGTATTGTACAGGCTCTTGCCTGGAGCCGATCATCTGCTTTTACTTTTTCTCTCCCTTCACAGCTTTTTTCTCCTACTTCAATCAACTTACCTTCTGTGGAGAGATTGAGCCAGCGTGGGGGACAGTGAAAGAGCATGGGGGAGAATGAGAGAGCAAGGTTAACGTGAAGGAGAGTGAAACTGACCGCGGCAGCAATTGAAGTTCCGCAGCAACTGCAGTGGTGAGATCAGGCAGCCCCATGTCTCCCAGCATCTGCGATGGCGTCAAGCATGGGGAGATTAATCCCAGCACGGAGGAGATCGAGCCCTTGTGGGGCGTGTGGCTAAGCATTTAGGAAAGACTGCAATGTTGAACTTTTAACTTTATTTCTTTATTTTTCTACTTTATACGAAGAAGGACTTTAATGTTGAACTTTTAACTATATTTCCTTATTTTTCTACATTGTACCTAAGATTTTGTACCTATGTACCTTTGTACCTAAGATGGGGCCAGGGATGGTGACATTGTACACTTTTCCCTGGACTCCTGTACCCTTCTACTTGAGTACACATGACAATAAAATCTAATTCTATTTCTACATCTACTTTAATGGCCGTTAGGTGCACTTAGAAATACCATAGTCATGAAAGGGGCTATACTAATACAGGTCTCCAATTTACAAACGTCCAACTTACAAATGCTCGCACTTACAAATAAGATTAAATATTAATTTTAAAGATACAACATGCAAACATTTTCTCATTGTTACGAACAGTTATTTTATATTGTATTGTGTACTAACTTACGTATAAATTGACTTATGAATGTATTCAAGAATGGGACATATTTGTAACCTGGGGACGGCCTATAGAAGGTTTCTCTTTGGTGGTAACCTTACTGATTGTTGCTGTCAACTGAGCACTACTGCACTGGCAGGAACATTGAGGACAGCTGGATTAAAAATTACAGCTAGTTCAACCTCAGCTATGAGCTACATGTAGACTTTGGCAGCTGTTTCTTTTCAACAAGCGAATGCGCAATTGGTGTGTGAAATTGAAAGGGCTTTCTTTTTAACCTTTGATATATCCAAGTTCAAATTGTTGAGTGTACAATCTTCTAGATCAAGTGTTTATTCATTCGTGGGATGTGGTCAGTGCTGGCTAGATTGGCTTTATTGGTTATCCCTAATTGCCCAAAGGGCTGTCAAGAATCAACCACATTTCTGTGGGTGTGGAGTTACACTTGTTTGGGACACCTCCCCACCTGCAACAACAGTAATAGCTGCGCCACCCACTTTCATCTTCCCTAATTCCATGACAAACTTCCCTAAAATAGGGCAGAAAGGGTAATTATAGTTGGTGTGCTGCGTAACATTCAGAATACCATCCTGAACCTTATTAGCAGAGGATCCTGATTCTGCCTGGCCTGGATAGGACTTTGATCGATATCAGAGGGTGCTGTTGAATTACTATACTGGGAAGCCCTGAGTGAAGGCTAACTCCCTTGACTTGACTGAGGCTTACTGACAACTATGGCAAGCTCTCTGGCTTTGTGTCTGTGCTAAACGACATGGCAAGAAAACAAAGATTGGTAACTCTGGCCGAGGAGCACAAGTAGACAAGGCAATGCCAGCGAGGGAGGTTCTGAGCATCCGGGTAGATTCAGAGTGAGTGAGCACTATGACAGTGAGTGAAGAGCCCAGAGATACAGCCTGGCCCAGTCCCTGAGCTGGGCATGCATCCCTAAGCACTCAGGGTCCTTGCTGCAGCATTGCAATGAGAGTTACCAGGGCAGCCCGAGGTGTAGCATTGATGTGCAAAAGAATGCAGCAATTGGATTGGAGATGTGCTGGCATATGTCAGATGGCAATGTCCATGGATGTGGGGAGGGCCATGAGATGTTGTGCCCGGCGTCCAATGTGGAGGTCATTCAGAGCAAGTGGTGAACTGAATCTGCCAGGAGCTCTCTCTGGTTTCCCGTCAAGTCTTTCTGATGTCAAGTTCCTTTGGTGAGAAGGGAGCCTGAATATTAATGAAGTGATTCGCGCTGTTAACAGGGCATTTAACAAGCAGTAATGACTGTCAACATGCAATTTGCCATTGCCGAGTGAGAAAGCTGCCTCACTGCTCATGATAAGCAGAAACCATGGAGTGAGATGCTGTTGACATTGAGATGGGCCTTGCTGCACTTGTCTACCTCACCTTTCACCACTCCATTGTTCAGCCTCTATGAGATTTTGCCATATTTCCTATCACTGGTAAGTAATTTAGCAGTTAACCTAAGTATGGCCAATGTGGGTTGTGTTTGATCATCTGAGAGAGGCATCAGACAAGAATTCCCCAGATGTTGTCCCTCCATATTGACTCAGGGACTTTTCTGTTAAATTTTCTCATTGATTAATGGAGAGTAAGTTGACCAGAGGTGAATATGAGGTATATGCTCCCATGGGTTGAAAAGCTGGTCTGTGCCCTTCCGACAGGAAGCTGTCTGTCAAATGTAAAACTTCTGCGACTTGCACATTATCAACACATGATGATCTCTCGGGATCTGACCACTTGACCAAATGGCAGAAAAATTAGCGCAAGGTTGACTTAATTTTCTACTGTAAAAATAACGTGTGAAGGAAATCAAAATCTCTCTAATTTTGAAATATGGATAATACAGAAGCTTTTTCCCAGGGTTGAAATATCTACTACTAGGGGGCATGCATTTAAGGTGAGAGGGGGAAAGTTCAAAGGAGACGTGAAGGGCAAGTTTTTTATTCAGAGTGGTAGGAGTCCAGAACGCATTGCCATGGGTGGTGGTGGAGGCAGATACAATAGGGGTTTTTAAGGGGCTTTTAGAAAAGTGCAAGGAATTGAGGTATATGGACCAAGCGCAGGCAGAAGGGATTAGTTTAATTTGTGTCATGTTCGGTACAACATTGTGGACCGAAGGGCCTGTTCCTGTGCTGTACTGTTCAATGTTCTACAGCTTGATCTGTCCATCTTACTAATTCTCCTTGAATTAATATGTTCCATGTCGAGATGTATTTTAAGACTACTTACAACAGCTATAGCGTTACATATTTTATTGTCTCAGAATAATGCAGAGATAATATTAGTTTGAAAGCATACCACGGATTTATTCACAAGAATTTTAAAATATGTCTGCGACTATTATTTGTCTGCACTCAGCTTCTGAAGTGTTTGCTTATTTTGCTGTGAGTTCTCACCCAGGCTGAACCAATCAAACACAGTCAGCATAGACCAGTTACCGAGCTCACACAATTAAACATTGAATAACTGAACAATTGAATTCTACAGCCATAAGAGCTCATCTGGAGTAAATAGTGATTATATTTCAAAAGTACTTTGTTAATTGCGTAGATATTTGGGACATTCTGTAGTTGTGTAACAGGTTTGAAGAATTAAAATTGTTCCCCTTCTGAGCCAGAAATGTTGATTGGCATTGCATCAATAATTATTAAATAATTACTGACATTATGTTATTGATTGCTTTACCTATGTTTCCATGGTGAGCTTAATTCATGTGAAACCTAGCAAGTTCTTAAAAATAGTGGAAGGCTAAGGGTGAAATACTGCTTAAAAGATGGAGAACATGTTTATGAGATTTCCAGCTCACAGTTCATCTCTTTATCCCCGTAACCTGTTAGCCAATTTGTGTATGAATTACAGCCTGTGTCATTGACACACTGTTAATTTTCTAGTATGTTTCAGTCTGTTATGAAGACAAATAAGACAGGCTGGATATTTTAGTTGTTAGGGGGCTGGAGCAGTTAATGAGGGCTCGAGGGCTAGTAAGCATGTTATAACACAAGTAGAATAGAGTAGTATTAAATCCACTCCTATGTAAAGGAATAAATAAAATGCCATTCAAACCAGTAGGCTGCATTTACTTAAGCAACGTGTGATTTAACCTTTAACAGAGACATTGTTCAAATATTAACAAATATCTAATGGATTTACTAATGCAGATAAAAGTACGATCACCTTGTATCTAAGATTGGAAGTGCAAAATTAAATTAGCTTCCTTTGCATTCAGTTGGCTTCTGAACAGTCAAATATCTACTGGCCTTTAATTGCATAAGTGAAAAGCTAGAGGCCAATTTGGATAACCCCTGAAATGTAGTTGGGATTGCAGTTACCTAATGTCACTTCTACATAACACATCAATATTCTACTCGCTGAAATCTTTGCTGCATGCACCCAGGAGTCACCATTCAGCTTACTGGCTGTAGGAATCAGCTGGGTGCTCACAACTGCAATTTTCTAGCATCAGCTAAAGCAGACCTATACAGCCACCTTCAATCTCACTCGCACATCTTAAAGGGAAGGTGCGTTGTGAATGAACTGTCATGCAGGAAGTGAATCTGACCTGGGAAATTGTTAAGAATGGCAGAATCTGGGAGAGATAGAGTTGAAAGGTTTTCTGACACAGCACTGGCGGAGAGATCAGAGAGAGATAGTGATGTCCTGTAATCAAAAGGGGACCCAGAGTCTCTCCAGTCCTGCGTTCATCGGCAGTGAGATTCAATACTTGAGCAGGACAATGCTAAGTCATCCAAAGGACCCTGACAGTCCATTAAGAGGCTCAATGACTTCACATGAACGGCTAAAGTCAGTGATTGCGTTTTCAAATGCCATATTTGCATACTTCCCACTAACTTGTGAGACTGCTCAACACAGTACATCCTCATAGGTAACCAACACACAACACTGATCCGTTAGGACTCATAACTAAAATTCATTTGTTGAACTTGAACCTCAAACACTCAGCAATTCTGCAAACTGCACATCCAAATGCCACAGCTTGTACACACTGCCAGCTATTCAAACTATATTATCTGAACTTAATGACACCTTTCCCTTTTACTTTTCAATCAAGATAGTGCACAACAATAAAGTGATAGAAGTGGCTGTCAGCAGCGCTATCAAGCAGCATTTGGTCAGTAATAACCTGCTCACTGAAGCTCAGCTTGGATTTCATCAGGGTCACTCAGCTGCTGGCCTCATTACAGACTTGATCCAAACATGGACAAAAGGGTGACAGCTTTGACACCAAGGCTGTATTCGATTGAGTGTGGCATCAAGGAGCCCTACTAAAACTGGAATCAATTGAAATAAGGAGGAAACCCTCCACAGGTTAGATTCATGCCTGGCAAATTGGAAGATAGTCATGGTTGATGGAGGTCAGTCATCTCAGCTCCAGGCCATCTCTGCTTGAATTCCTCAGGGTAGTGTCCTCAGCCCAAATATCTTCAGCTGCTTCATCAGTGACCTTCCCTCCATCATAAGGTCAGAAGTGGGTGTGTTTGTCAATGATTGCACAATGTTCAGCACCATTTGCAACTCCTCAGATACTGAAGGTGAGGTCGATGCAGAATCAATGGGCTGACTGGCTTCTTTTGGCACTGTAGGGATTCTACAATTCTGTGATGATATAAATACTGAGGCTTCAAGGGCAGATCAGAGGTTAGGAGTTCTGTGGTGGTAACTCACCTCTTGTCTCCCCAGTACCTATTCACCATCTACAACGCACAAGTCAAGAAGGTATTACAAAAAGAACATAAGAACATAAGAACTAGGAGCAGGAGTA